GCTCGACCAAGTAAACAAACAAGCGCCGAGCTCAACCATGTAGCTCGGCCCCATAATTAATAAGCGTCGAGCCCAATCTCGAGGCTCGGCCAGGTAACAAACAAGCGCCGAGCTCAACCATGTAGCTCGGCCCCATAATTAATAAGCGCCGAGCCCAATCTCGAGGCTCGGCCAGATAATAAACAAGTGCCGAGCTCAACCATGTAGCTCGGCCCCATAACCAATAAGCGCCGAGCCCAATCTCGAGGCTCGGCCAAGTAATAAATAAGCATCGAGCTCAATGGTGAAGCTTAGACGGGTAATGCGCCACCGTAATTAGTGCGATAAATTGCACAAGTCGGGCTCGACAAAGGGGCCCGGTTAGGCCAAAGTGCCCTAAAACTAAAAACCAAACTCCAAACGCAGTTCGGCCGAACAAAGCATGCGACAAAGTACTCTCATTTGACAAACATTCATCACATGCATTTATCATGCATTCACATACATTCATCATATGCATTCATCATACATTCACGCATTCCACATATGATCGCATTTTGCATGCATTCTCGTAAGAAACAAAGAGCTCAAAGCTCAATCGAACAAAGAGCTCAAAGCTCACCCAGACAAAGAGCTCTAAGCTCACTCATGTCGACATAAAAGGCACTCATGCATAAAAAACGGGCACCAAATCGCCCGTCCAGGCCATTCAGGCCCTATCCAGTCAGAAAAGTCGCCCATTCACTAAAACCGATTCAACTCGTCAAAGATTAACAAGACGCTCAAGGGTCCCAAAGCACCCTAAAATTGCATACTAAATCGTGATAAAATCACCATTTTTCGCCAAAAAACTGACAAGATAAAAAGTGATCCTGTGAATCACGCGAAAATTATTCGACATGCGCACTCGTCGACGTATTTGCGATTTCAGTCGATATTACTCGTTACGTAAACATTCTTACCTAATATAAAGAGCCCAAAGCCCAAAATATCATGAGGCGAAAGCATTGCCAAATTGTAAAGATAAACGCGACTTTAGAGCAGTCCAATCCTGAACATGTCTAAACTCGGGGGCCTCCTGTTGATACCCAATTTGGCTCCGATTAATTATATAATAAACAAAATAATAAAATACGACCCGATAACCGAGGAA